AAAGCACGATTCACTTCTTAACTACAATTACTCACTATGCACTGTTTTGTCTACCTTCATTTTTGTTTAAACAATTTACTAAGTTGATGCCGGATCCAAATCACGAATTGGCAATTAAGTAGAACGAAAAATCGAGGCATAGCGAATAGTTCAAAGTCACGGATTTAGACAAATTTGTATTATTTTGGGATAGTACATTTTAAAGCTTTAGGATATAGAAACTTCTGTAGCACCTCAAGCAAAGACACATTTTCTTACCAATGGAACCTAGACAACTTTTCTAGATCGCAGTCTACGAAAAAATCTCATGATTTTCAAACGAGGAGAATTTTCCAAGAAGCAAAGATGCGCTTTTTCCTGGATATCATTGCTAAACAAGCTACAATAAAAACAGTATTTCCTCATACATTTTAAGACCGCTTTACTACCAGCTCCGAGAGCGCAAAAAAAAATCAAATACAAGGGCGAAAATATGCTCTTACGAGCTTAATCTCTCAACTAGAGATGGGTGATCTGCTGTTCTAAAGATGGAGCTGTTCTAAAGACCCGATTCACTAAAGTGAGCTGATGACCCGCGGTTCATTTTTTAGGAACCGCAGCTCATCAGCTTACTGATATCACAAATCTAAGCCATTCAATCCGTTACTTACAACGTGAAGCTTTCTAATTTCAATCTAATAATTTTTAATAATCGAAACATTATTGATTTAGTTTTGCATATGTTTACATAGTTTTACTGGTGTTTCACGACAAATCAGCTTGATATTCAACCTCACAACTCAGTTCCGGATCCGAATCATCAACCTCGCGAATCTGAGCTGATGATCTGAAGCTGAAGCCAAGAACAGTGAGAGCAATTCTGCTGGAAAATTATCATCAGCAATCACATCTGTATGTAGACTGGATTGCACAGCATGAGAAAAAGCGATGTCAATCATATATATCATCGCATGTGATAAAGGTGCAGCTCTCTCGCATACATTTTACTGATACTTTAACTGATATGTTATTGGAACATTTTGCGCGCATTTTGCTTTACGCGGTGGTTATTCAGTTGTTGTGTAAGTGGCGTTTTCAATAGAAAAGTTGAGCCATGTTGTAAGCTACGGATATATTGGTTTAGACTACTTTTACCATTTTATATAATTTTAAGCCTCTATACTGCCGCTATTCGCATAACAATCCTATGTAGATAGGAAATCCATAGGAAATGGGACTGTTATGCAAATAGCGGCAGTATAGCTCTTATAGCACTTATTTCTTTTCCAATTTTGAATTTGTGTCAAAATTTCTATAATGTCAATGTGAGCTGATGAGCTGTTCACAATAATCGGCTCACCATGATTTGTAAAAAAAAGTTCAAGAATTTATACATAATATTTTCAAAATGTTTGGGCTGAGGATTTATTTTTAAAGATCTCGGATGTCATAAACTAAGCCAAATTTTTAAGCTGCTCAATCCTCATAACTTTTTTTTGCAGATCTTGAACTTAGAAACAATTGCAAGAACACCGAAGGAAAACTCGAACTTTCCAAAACTTTCAGAATTAATCACATTGTCAGGCCATTTTCCTCAGAGATGGCGCTGTTCCGCTTGTAAAGTTCGATTCAAAATAAATTTGGACGCATTCAAGTGATCATAACTCAAGAATTAAACAACATACACGGTTGATCAAAACGTCAAACAAAAGGTATTTATTCAGCTTTCAAACGATATATAACAAGTTATTACATTTCACCGTTTCGAACGAACTTTTCGCTTGACAATTGCCCAATATTTTTCGATCGGTCTGAACTCAGGGCAATTCGGAGGATTAATCTCTTTGGCGACGAAATTAACATTGTTTGCAGCATACCATTCTAGTACCTCCTTAGAGTAGTGGCAGCTGGCTAGATCCAGCCAAAACTTAACGTTGGTCTTGTGTTGCCGAATGAAGGGTAAAATCCGCTTTTTCAGACACTCTTTAATGTACACTTTCGACGTCATTGTGTGAGATGTGACAACTGCAGATTCCTTGCCAAATCATTAGTTTCCGAGCAAACTTATCAGCAAAAACAAATGTATACCTGGAAGGGACATCCTCACGACCAGTTGCCAGGTAACATTTTCGCCCGGGCATTTGTTTATAATCCATTTTGACATATGGTTCGTCATCCATTAAAATACAGCCATCAAATTTTGTCAAAACTTGTTCGTATAGTAATCATGCTCGCTCTTTTTGGCCACTAAATTGTGTTTCAGGGAGCGATTCGGATGTTTACTGGCACAAAAAGACTTATATCCTTCTCTTGAAAGGATGTTACGCACGGTGGAAAAGTTGGAATCGTATTTCTTTGCCAAATCACGTATGGCGACACCTGGGTTGCTTTTCACGTACCTCAACACCTTGCTTCTCAACTCTTTGTCCCTAGTGCCACTTTTATGATAGATGCGCTGTGCTCTATCTACACTTAGAGTATCTTTGTAACGTTTGATTACAAGACTCACCGTTGACTTTGGGAATTTTAACACTTTTGCTATTTTTGAGGCAGACCACGAAGGGTTCTCTAGATGTTTGTGCACAATTAATTTTATCTTTTCTCAAGTTCCATGATCCGTAATTTCGGGATGCGTCGATCAATCGAGAAAAACTTTTCACCAATTTCTTCGTCAATGAAACATCAACAAATGCCTTTCAAACGTTTTTTGTTCCAACCACCAGGGGCGCGGTAGTGTATTAAACCGTGCGTCCAGATTTACTTTGAATCGAGCTTTAGGAAGTAATGAAAATCTCCAAATAGCACTTGAGAGAAGTGGGAATAATTCGCTTTCGATGCATAAAGGGCGAACACGAAATTATTGCGACACATTCAACAGGGCATAACTTTTTTACCATTGGGTAAAAATCAACCAAATTTTGCACACTTTCTCATTGATGTGTATTGTGTACATGCTGTCAAACTCGAAGTCGTGTTTATCGATTCAACGAAAATGGAGGTGAACCAACGCGAGTTGAGAGAACAAATTCTTTCCAAACACCTGGAATTTCCTGACCTGTCGCACCGGCAGTTGGGAAAAATGTTGAACATTCACCATTCAACCGTCTCCAGAGTGTTGAAGCGGTTCCAGGAGCGGTTGACGTTGGACCACGGCAAAGGAGCTGGAACAAAAAGACGGAGGGAAAGGTGAAGCGGATGATTAAAGCAAATCCCAACGTCTCAAGCCGTGATTTGGCTAAAAAGATCGGCATGTCGCAGAGCTACGTCCAGAATGCAAAGAAGAGAGCTGGACTACATACATACAAGGTACAGAACTTCCCAAACCGCGATGAGCGGCAACAATCGACGGCTAAAACTCGGGCACGGAAGCTCTACGAGAAGATGCTGACAAAATATGGCTGCTGTGTGATGGACGACGAAACGTATATAAAAGCCGATTTTAAGCAAATCCCGGGGTTGGAGTTTTTCACCGGCAAGAGCAAGTTCGATGTGGACGACAAATATAAGAAGAAGAAAATGTCGAAGTTCGCCTCCAAATATCTCATTTGGCAGGCCATCTGCTCTTGCGGACTGAGAAGTGAGCCTTTCGTGACAAAGGGCACAGTAAATGGCGAGATCTACAAATCTGAGTGCCTCGAGAAGCGCCTTTTGCTGTTCTTGCAGCAGCACGACGAAGCTCTGCTATTTTGGCCAGATTTGGCATCATGCCACTATTTTAAAAGTGTCCTGGAGTGGTATGAGGCCAATTCTGTCCATTTTGTTCCAAAGGACATGAATCCGCCAAACTGTCCGGAGCTGCGCCCGGTGGAGCAGTACTGGGCAATAATGAAGCGGGAACTTCGGAAGAGCAAGAAGACAGTCAAAGACGAGAAGGACATGTTAAGAAAATGGAAAAAAAAACTGAGAAACTGGTACCGGATGACACTGTAAAGACTTTGATGGAGGGCATCAAGCGAAAATGCGTTCAATTTTACACTCAAGGCTCCATCGATTAACTTTTCTTTTGATTTTTGAAGTAAATATATGTATAAAACTACCGTAAAATTTTGGTTTGATTCTAAACATTATAAGAAAATTAGCATGACATTTTCGGTGTCGCAATAATTTCGTGTTCGCCCTTTATTCAGGTCAAAAAAAAGAGAATGACAGCCTAAAAAAATTGGACTTTGTCGTTCACTTATTTCCCAGAAATTATTGTTAAGCAAGCTACAATTCAATTCAAAAAAATATTTTTCCCGATACAGAGAGCCAAACAATTTAAATTGGAGGGAGAAATTCACTCTCACGAGCTAAATCTCTCAACATACCATGTATTTTGATGACACTCTATTTGCGATTTCCCTCTCACAGACTACAAAATAGAGTACTTGACACTGCAAAAAATGTCTGTACCAGGGGTACCCCCTATATATGCCTATTTTGCCTGAAACTGCTCAGTACGCCGTTTTTATTTATTTATTTATTATTTATTTGTGAGCAATGAAAAGTTCGCATCAGATCAATTCGTCATTTGGCGTTAAACTGCTCTTATGGAGATAAAGCAATTTTGGCGATTTTAAGATTTTACAACATTTTTTGTGCCATTGAGTTGTTCAAAAAGTTGTGGATTTTCAAATCCGTCAATTTTATAGCGATCAGGCCATATCCATTATGAACACCGCAGGAAGCCATAATGTATTATGACCGCCACAATCTGTCAATTGCATTGTAGCAAATAATTACAACTGCTCCATGTTTGCAGTATAAACATGCATTTCATGATCGTTTGTACCGCAAAATGTGCAAATTAAAAAGCAAAAAAGTAAGATTCCAGTGAACTTGTTTCTCAATAATTAAACCTTATCACATGCACCATTCCGGCAACCAAACAAGCAATTGATGATTACCCTTGGTCATGCACCGCACTTTAACACCATTATTGACCACTGACAATAAGCATGATAGATTTGCAATAACTGTATTCAGCTTCTTTCCGTTCAAATTGCAGCATCAAATATTAGCACCCGTGGCGGGACATTAATATGTGGATCATAGCAGCGGTTTCAGTTCTTTTAACCTTTGCCGGCAGTCCCGCAGAGGTAAGTGGAAATCTATAACCAGAATTAGTAGGTCAACAGCGTTTCTTACAAATTCCTACAATCTCCAAAGGCCAAATTCGTGTTTGAACTTAACGATGACTTCGAACAGTGCGAACCGGATGTGCCATTTCCAGCATTAAACTTATCTGGACTGGAGTTTACCATACTCGAGTACAACACGGTCATCTCTGGGAAAATTTCCTTCACGGAGGACTACGAAGCACCTGTTCGGGTATGCAGATTTTAAACTTTTTTACAATTTCACATAGCCGTAATCCCAAATCTTTCTCATTTAAAGGGACTGGCAATATCATTTAATTTTTTTTTTTAATGATCACCAATTTTGCAGGTAAACTTCCGCTCGATGCGTTTGGAACGAGGTACCTGGAGGCAAGGTGATATCGCCCGCACGGAGATGAACGTATGTCCTAAGCTGCTATCTCCCCTGGAACCTTGGTTCTGCGTTACCCGACATTTTCAACAGAAAAGGTGCCCTTTCAAGGCCGGGGTAGTAATTGTTGCTTGAATCAGTTGGGACAATCAAGTGAAATGAGCTGCTCTTTGCTTTTAGCACGAGGAAATATTGCCCATGATAGAAGTCGGCGACTTTGGCATACAGCTACCGCCTTCCTTTGCCGGAGATTGGAAGTTTTTCATGGGACTGGAGCTCAAGCGAAATGGGCGTAAAGTAAAGGAGTGCTTCGCCTTTACGGCTTCGGTAGTTGAAGCTTAGAATGAGGTAAAAACCAGAATAATTGACATCTTGCACTTAAATTAGTGGGACATTTCCAATAAAAAAAATTCTACCTTTGATACATTCGGTCTTTTGTCTATTTTGATTTTTTGTCCACTTATCTTTTATTCAAGCTTTGTTATCCATTTGACTGTTTTCCATTTCGATCTTTAGCTTCCATTCGACCTTTTCTTCATTAGGACCTTTTATCTTCCTAGCTTTCATTAGGTCGTTAGTTCATTTGATTCATTCCGAGCATTAATTTCCCTAACTTTCATTCAACCGTTTTCACAATCGACCTCCTGTCCACCATATACAGTATGCAAAAAAAGTTTATCCACCCCCTACCAATTAACATTTTTTTTTGTTTTTCATGTGAAAATCAGTTTAATTTTATGAGTGTTCCTCCATGATTTATCAATTTATGTTTATTTATCACATTGCCATTGAAAATACGGCGTTTATATCTTTTCTTGAGATTTCATGTGATAAATTATGAAAAATGGTAAAAAATTACGCAAAAAAAGTTTATCCACCCCCAAACGGATACCATGACTTAAGTTTGTTTTACAGAGTTTTAGTGTGTATTCTTCAACTTTATCGAATGTAAACATTGTGTCTATCTGTCATTTAGTGCTCTTAAGTTTTGGTGCTCAAAATTTCAGTTTCGTGTTCAAAATTGGAAGTTAAAAAGTAGGGTTAACTACCCCATTTCCGGCCTATTAAGCAAAGCCCGCACTTAGTCTTTCTTAATCTAGCGCAGTTTAGCACCAAACGGAATGTTATTATTACTGATGGCTTCCAAATTTATTTACCTTTCCGTATGTACCGTAATATTTGATAAAGAGAAACCAACCGTTGAGATATTGTCAAAAGTCTAACACTGCTTCTTGACAACAAACTCGGCCTACGGATTCTAAACTCGGCCTAACGCATTGAAACGCAATTGAAACGCCAAAGAATTCACTTCGGCCTATCGGATGAAGATAAAAATGGATTCGGTCGGAGCGCTTCTTTTGTTTTTGGGAATAATGGGTGCAAACCTACATATCACGCGTTCTCATTGACTTCGTTCCGTAGTTTATTAACTAAAGTATCGTACCAAACGCATAGTTGACTTGTTAACTCTGAAATCATGGATTTATTTGAAGTTTTTAGCTCGATAGGCCCAAAATGGGCGTATAGGCCGAAGTAGTTCTCTACCCTATCAGTATCCGAAATTTGATTATTGAACATCACAAAACTGGCACCGTGATATTGCCGATTTTGTCCAGCTTCACAAAGATACAGTCGCTAGAATTGTGCAGATGTACAAAAAGCGTGGTTCTATCTCACCAGCTAAGCGATCGGGGCGTCCTTCAAAGACAACTGGCCGAATTGACAGATCTATCGTGAAGAAGGCGGAGCTGGACCGGGGACTATCAGTTCCAAAATCGCGAAACAGATTGAAAGCGAGTTTTCTATTCAACTGACATCACAATCCGTACGAAATCGTCTTCATAAGAAAAGCCTGAAGGGCAGAGTAGCTCTTAAGAAGCCATGGTTGTCCGCAATTTATATCAAAACAAGATTGAAGTGGGCCCAGGACCACATTTCATGGACCAGTGATGACTGGAATAAGGTGATCTGGTCAGACGAGATCAAAGTAATGCTATTTGGGTCACCATTGATACCATCAGACCCAAATAGCATTACTTTCGTCTCGTCTGACCAGATCACCTTATTCCAGTCATCACTGGTCCATGAAATGTGGTCCTGGGCATACTGTATTTGTTCACTGGTTCTTGTACAATTAGCTTTTTGTCCGACTTAATCATTAGTTTATCGACCTTTTGCCCTCCTAGCGTTCACTTCAACCTTTGGCTCTCTTAGTTTTCATTCGACCTTTTATCTATTTACCCTAACTTACATTCGACATTTTGTCCATTTCGATCTTTTGTCCCCCTAAATTTCATTCAACCTTTTACTCAATTTGGGACTTTTTCTTCATTTTGCCTTTTGCTTTCATTAGAGCTTTTGTTCATTTCGACCTTTTTTCTCCGAGCTTTCATTAACTTAACTTTTATTCGACCTTTTGTTCTTCTTGTTTTTATAAGACCTTTTGTCCATTTTGACCTTTTGTCCATTGCGACCTTTTTTCTCGTAGCTTTCATTAACTTAACTTTTATTCAACCTTTTGTACATCCGACTTGTGATCTTATTGATTTCAATTCTTTTCTTTTCTTCATTTCGACTTTTTGTCTCCTAGCTTTCATTAAATTAACTTTTGTTCGACCTTGTTCTTCTTGGTTTCATTAGACCTTGTGTCCATTTCGATGTTTTTTCCTCTTAACCTCTTCTCAAGCTTTTGTACATTCGACCTACACTGAGACAAATAAACTTAAGGATTCCATAAGACACAACTTATGAACCTTATGAACTCCATAGCCGCTACTTATGAATGATTATCGTGCTACATGAGATGGTTCTGATACGCCTTTAGCATATCCGACTTCCCAAGCGTTGATAACCGTGAGTGCAAATCACGTAGGGGACGACGGGGAAAGACGACCCCTCGGGGTTAGACAGCCACCAATTGGATTATTGAAACAATCAACTCCTTAAAAAACTACAATGGACAGCCCTATGGGGTGGTACGCAATGGTGACGTAGGACTACGTGCTCTTATATGATAAATCTTATTTGTTAACTGCAGCAGGAGCTTGTGTTTTGTGCAGGAATAGGAATCTGAGCGAGGTTCTCTCTGTTTATACTCTTTAGTATGACGCGCTTGACATAGATGGCCCACAGCAACTCACGAAGAGCTACTGATTCCGATCAATAGCGGTGCGGCTTCTTCCTCCTTCTATGGATGCTCATGTGGGTTGCAGCTCGCTGCTTGCGGGGAGCTTTTCATTGTGTACTGGAGAACACCAGCACTCACCACACGGTGATTGGAAAAACACCGTTTGGTGAGACCGGATGGAATTCAACTTTGAAATCTGTGTTAGGGAAATCGCTTTTCGCAGGCAATCGGTGGTAATTTTAATTATCAAAGCTACAGTTGCACATTCGTGCAATTTTCAATAGTGACATTTTGAAAAATGATAAAGTCTTAAATTTAACAGATGCTATGAAATATATCTGATCGATTGGTGATCAAATTATTAAAATTGGTCCGGGGACAGCTGAGTTATTAGCGTTCAAAATCTTTCATAATTTTGTTACATGTTCCATTTTCGGTTTTCACAAAGTGTACCCCCATATAGAAATCACAGACGTAGTCATACGTCAAAATAAATGATGTAGCGTTAATTGCTATAGTGTAGTTGATGTAGTAAAACACATTTTAGCTTGATAATAAGTTAAAATAAAAATGAACAACCAAATCAAAAATTGTGTATGGCAACGGTAGGCACTTGTTATTTTATGTTTATGAAATTTAACGTTTTAGAGCTATAATATCATTTATTATAACACAGCCATTCCATAGCAAACCGATATAGTGGCTCTTAGAATTTCGTAAAAATTATTACCATTACCATGTTAGGGTGGTCCAAAAAATCGATGTATATTAACCCTTAAATGCCATTTGGCAACATAACTATGTAAGTCTTTAAACATAATGAAACAACATTTTAATAGTAAGCGCAATATATATCACAAGAAAAAAATCATGCATTTAAGGGTTAAAAATTACATTTTCAAAAAATTATAACTTTTGTATTTGTTTTTTTTTTTATTGTTTTCATGGTGTGTAGCAATATGTTTTTATAAGTTTCCTTGAAAATTTAGACTTTTTTACACAACTTATAATCCACCAATTGTTTATTTTTTCGTTTTTGAGTTATATTTTTTGAAGTTATCAAGTTTTGGGTTTCCGCTCAATACTCCTATGCGACTAGACTACCATGCATCTCCAATGTTTTATAGCGGCTGTAACATGGTCATGACATGGTCATATGTCATTGACAGACACGTTTCCAAAAAGATCATCCATATCGACTCTCGCGTACCGTGGATAACGAAAGATCTTCGCGCGTTGAAAACAACTAAGAATGCTGCTCTCAGAAGATTTACTAAACTTAAGACTTCAACTAAGGCTGAACCGGATGGTGTTCCGTCGATTATTCTTAAAAATAACATCACATGTCTTTTAGATTCACTGCGCCGCATATTCCAGCTCTCTCTTTCCAGCGGCATCTTTCCGTCTTGCTGGAAGACTGCGGATATTTTTCCTGTTCATAAAAAGGGCAGCAAACGCGACGTAAACAACTAATTTTTGAATTGGTTGTCATAGAGTCCCTAAATGCGCATTGCAAGCAATAGCTAAGTATAGATCAGCACGGATTCATAACTGGGCGTTCCACAACTACAAACCTGCTGTGCCTAACGTCTTACATCACAGACAGTTTGATTGCTCGGACCCAAACGGACGTTATCTACATAGATCTTACGGCAGCCTTCGATAAGCTGAACCACGAAATTGCGATGGCTTAGCTTGATAGACTAGGGATCGGTGGAAATCTTTTGAGATGGTTTCGTTCATACCTCATGAAGCGCCAACTGACAGTAACTTTAGGTACTTGTCGCTCAGCAAGCTTCTGCGCAAAGTCCGGTATACCTCAGGGTAGCCATCTGGGACCATTGGTATTTCTCCTTTACTTCGACGACGTTCACCATGTTATCATAGGGCCACGATTGTCGTTTGCAGACGATCTGAAAGTTTTTCTGCGCATCCGCTCACTCGCCGACTGCCGTTCTCTCCAAAATCAGATTGACATCTTTGCTGACTGGTGTAGTCTAAACCGACTGTGGTCAACCCAGCTAAGCGTTTAGTCATTACTTTCTCACGCAAGAAACAACCGATTATTTTCAACTACAAACTACTAGGCACGCCTATCGAAGGGGTGCATTGCGTGAAAGACTTAGGCGTTTTTCTAGACTCAAAGCTGACATACTCACACCATATATCGTATGTCGTCGACAAAGCGTCCAGAACTCTTGGCTTTGTCTTCAAGATAACTAAGAACTTCACAGGCATTTACTGCTTGAAATCGCTCTATTGCTCTCTCGTACGATCTACGTTGGAATACTGCCTTGCAGTCTGGAACCCGAACTACAATAATGGGGCCGAGCGAATTGAATTGAAGAAAACGACGTTTTCTTCGCTTCGCGCTCCGTAAGCTGCCTTAGAGATATCTGCCTGATACACTCATTTGATATTTTGATCTTTAAAATCGGCTCAGTGATTCTAAAGTTATGAAAAAAAATCATTTTTGGAATCTATGCTAATTGTTTTTATGGAATGGCTGTATAACTCTGAGCTTAGGATGGCCGTCTTATCCCGTCGTCTCCTACTGAAAAATCTGAACGCTCAAGGTTCGAATCCAGTCTGCTCCATTTTGTAGTGGTTTTTTTTAAGTTGCGTAAGCTGACTTATGAATGATGTTTCATAGGTCAAACTTCTCTAGTAGAACACTTCTATGCAACTTCTTTCAGCCACAATCAAGTTGCTGAAACCGTTGGTAACGAAAGTGGGTTAGATTTCCATAATAAATCGATTTGGCGAAAAATCATTAGTGGTTCTTATAGAATTTTTAAGGTCATTCGCCTCCCTATAAGTTTCATTCGACCTTTTGTTCATTTACCTATTTGTCCTTTTCGATCATTAGTTCCTCTAACTTTCATACGACCTCGAGCACTTTCACCATTTGGCCTTTTAGATTTTCAACGTTGAATTGTAGGATTTTTCAAAAGGTTTCCATGTTCCGCAGTAGTTTAAAGAGTGGCTGAAGTTTCAGAAACTCCTACAGTTCTGCGAGTTCTTGCAAGCAGCAGTGATTGAAAAGCTCGTAATATTTCACGAAGTTCGCTTTCGTGAACTTTTTCATCACTGCTTGCAGATCTCAATTATCCGGAAGTTCTACAATTCTTGTAGCTGTGGAAGTAGCAATCACTCTCGGAGTAACGGATTGGGCTTAGTTCCAGAAGAGTTCTAAAGATTGGTGGAGTTCCAGAACATTTAAAAGTTCTGAAAAATCATGTAGTTTGTAATGCTTCGGAAGTTCTACAGGAAGTTTTGGAAGTTCTCAGAGTACCGGACTTCCCAGGAGTTTTTTTCCTTGATTTGTTTTCCGTTGACCTTGGTTTCTGTACTGAGCACCAAATGCTACCGACGCCAGGGAGGTAGCTCCCACACCTGGGAACCCTACCTATCGACCCATCAACCCATGAACCGGGGACCAACGGCTTTACTTCCCTTCTGAATGAAGGCGTGATCAGAGATGTTATGCCTCAGAAAATCCCGGCGATGCCGACTGGGATTGAACCCAGGCCTGCTGGGTTGAGAGGCAATCCCGCTTACAACTACACCAGCGGCGCCGCTTTTTTTGAAAAGTAAGCAAACAGCATGACTCAATGCGGAGCTTTCACACTCAGTCTGAGCAGTCCATAATTTTACGTTCTGCAAAGAAGTTTTAAAAGCAGCTGGAGTAGTGAAAGCAGCAATTCTTAATGTCCCGGAAGTCCTACAGGTCCTGCGTTCGTTCGTTCGGAATGCCCCCTCCAATTTTGCCGGTCGGCCGGCAGTGTAGACTGCGACTGGCAAAAAGGGAGGGGGCAGTCCCCAGCGCCGGAAGTTTGACCGATTGGCACTTTTGGTTCAAATCGGAAAAGGTCGATGCATTTTCTCGTTCACTTGAGATTGAATGACTCATATAATACAACTCCAATTTCAGGTACTCTGGTTTTCAAGAATTCAGAGACTTTGGGAAGTCGGTAAAGGTCATAGCCAGCTATAAAATAAAGCCATTCTGGGGCAGTAGATTCGATTCGTGAGCTATGTAGGAATTTTTCGGCAACCGATGGTTTGAACATTTTGAACCAGAAAAAGGAGCTTCCAAGTAAACAAAATAACGTAATTCAGATCAATTGGGGATCCTTGGATAACACCAAGTTTAACACGCGCATAAGATTCAAAGCAAACCCACATACATATCAAAACGAAGAACTTCAGCCAAACAAATTAAACCTTTATTATTAAATATTCACGCCTAAACAACTTCCAATGCATCACAACCACCCTGGACAGCTTCTTCAAATTTCGATAACGGTAAAGTACTGCATCAAACACCCTAAAGGCTCCGAATCTCTCATGACGTCACGGTGCTCCATGTAGATTCTCCAATCTCCGAGAAATTGATGCGAAATTTTAACAGGGAACTTGTATTTGATGTTGTCCAGTTTGATCACATGCTAGCAATGGAAACCATGGTTGTAAGTCAGTTTTTTTTCTCGAGTGCAATTCAATCTTACCCCCGCCGAAAATGGACAATGCAGTTGGTCCAATTGTTTCATCACTGGATACCAAACTTCCAATGGATCCAGCAGACTGGCACAGAAATCTCTCAAAGGCTTATCTATCAATGTCGGCCTCCATTCGCCCCGCTCCATCCGTTCCGAGTGGAAGTAAACCGGGTAGGGGGCCACAACATCCGTAAGGAAGGTGAAATTGCCGTTGATGATTATGTAGCCATCGTCATCAAAATCGAACTGGACGTTGGAGAAGTCCATTTCGTAATCATAACCGGGACATCCGTGCATCTCTTGCAGATCAGGAACTATCTTCAACTCCACGGGAAACGCTAGTAGTAAAAGGTACAAAAGTTTGATGCACATATCAAGTAGGGGAATTTGAGCCTGAGTTCGCTGGGCAACGGCTGGATGATACTGTAGTAAATTTCCACGAATGTGCATTCAGTTTATATAGAGTGCAAGCGGAAGCTACACTGAACGGAAAAATCTGCAATACTTCGAATGATTGCTCGAGCCTTTTAACAATATGCTTTCGATTTTCGGATGATTGCCTTATAGTTGAATTGGTCGTCAGCCGATGAGCACTCATGCACAAACGTTTACGAATAGTATGACATGCAAGAGCATGCAAGATTGTAACACGATTGTTTATTTTATTCTACGTTTCCATAATGAACCGCTATGAACTGCCATTCCATCATGGATACAAAAATCTTCCGTTGGTAGCGGAAACTTCCTCTACCACGTCATTGATTAACTTCGGTTTTCCACGCTTTACTCATGTTCGTATCAGTTCTGATAGCGATGGCTATGTTTTCAGCTCGTGCGCCAGCTGAGATCAGCAAATGACATACGATTGAATTATCTGCATAATCGTTTTGAATGATTTGCGCTGAATGGGGCTGAATAAAGATTACGTTCGCATCTCACAGGATGAATATTCGAGAGAAACATCATCTGAGTTCAAAACAACCGTCATCCGATTGCAGCTATCATTCGCAAAAGCGATTTCGATGTTTCGACATGAATGGTCGGAATGGTGCATACGAACAGAAGATGATGTTTTGGTTCAGTGTAATGGTAGTTGACTCGTTCCAGAACACAACTATTCATCGTTGTGGGGTTGCATGTTTATATTTGCTATCGATAAATTGGTACCGTTCGAATGAAAACGGAATGTTTATGAGCTGTTTCACCGGGTTTGGATCAACTATCGTTCGTTTCATTCACAATCGTAATGGACAGCAAAATTTGTATATCCATGGGGTATTCAGAGGAAACATAAATCAAGATGTACAATACGCCTGTGACACATGAAACGGGAATTACTACAATTATTGCGTTACTTGTTATAGCACAATGCTGTTCGCTTTACGGTGCCAAATGTCTGTTTTTTGTTTTGTATCTATTTGCCCCACGCTGAGTAATTATCATTTGAAAAAAAATATTAAAGAAAATCGTCATATTTTATAACCGTAATTTATCAGAACTGCAGTGCTGATGGGCTTCCTCCACGAGACTGGCTACTTCTACCAAATATGATCCACATGAACTAAAATCACGACCACCACAACATCTATGGACATTATCTCATCACTGATATCGACCAAAAGATAATACGCTCACTCCCGCTACGCACATTGACCTGGATTCAAAACCTAACCCAACTACCCAGTCAACAGCCAGATCCCCAGAAAAATACCTACTGCATCGATCCGGTAGTCCCCAGAAAGACAGCACATCGACAGCAACCATAATTACAATTCCAACTCTGTAGTTGAGGGAGACATCTCCCTTGTGAACTATGTAACTAAGGGAGGGTTTGTTCTGGACACTCACACCCTCATAAGGGGTCTTATCTGAATCCCCTCTCCATGCTCTTTTCAAATCTGCAAGTCTCCTTAATAAAGAAATTCAATCGAATCCAATCCTTGAAGTTCATTGAATGCCTTTTCGGCAAAATGGTCTGTGTGTCAGATAAAACCGAACCCGAAAAAGTTTTGCAGTTACCATTCATCCAAGTTTCCATAAGAGCCCCAGTGGAACAGTTGAGTAACTCTTATGCCTTGTAACGGAAGCCTCTCAACCTGCGAGATTTAAAAACGAGTAGCTTAAGCGCCACCTCCGAAGAGGACCACTCGTCACGGTTTGATTTGCCCGGCAAGAAACCCAACCTCAGGGCGGGTTTATGTGTAGAAGAGACCGAAAATTAGTCTGAGGGCGATTCAGTAGACTGAAATCCCATTTGGGATTGCGATCCTCGCAGATAGAGGCTGCTTCAAATAGTCTTAAGCGAAAGTTGGTGCTAGCCGCCGTTCTACCGAAACACTACAAACCCCACTCACATCGTCACTGGAGGAACTTCCCGTTTCAGATTTCCTCCACCGATCGTGACACGTGAATACGGAGACTGTTTTCCCAGGCAGTCCAACCTGGAGTAAATTCTACTATCAAAAAATACCACAACCACAGACAAACAGACGTAACTCTTCACTGTGTAGCTTCGTTCACGCATTTAACGGTTGATTTGAATATTATCAGTTCCGCAAACTACTCGCCGCAGCGCTGGCATCGGATCACTTTGACGTTTCTATACATTCTATATAGAACTTTTATGCAAGATTGTTTGCGAGTTAGCGAACAAGCTGGTTTTCCGTGAGAAGCCCGAGAGATGTCGCTACTAAGGTCCTATGTTTTGAAATACTATGTTTTCAAGAAAAACTTTTTCAAAGAGTTACGTCTGTTTGTCTGTGCCACCACAAATAACGCAAAAATAGAACGATGCCAAATATGAAAAACCTAGTCAACCAGAAGTAACATAACAGGGAAAGCTTAAATTTTACGAAAACTACATTTATTTCAGGGGCAAATAACGGAAATCATTATATATGATTTATTACAGTTCCTAACCTAGGTTTGTTCATAGCTTGTTCCTTTCGAGAAAAGTTATTTATTTATTTCTACTTGTCAACAGATAAAATAGTTACCCTAATGACAATTTTCTATATCTAAACATCAAAACTGCTTCAAACACAAAATTAACGCAAACATCTCTTAAAGCTACGCTTATTTTTCTCGCGGGACACATTAAAATCGAACACATAATAACAACTATTAAAAACGCGGTACATACTCAACATTGGTTCGTGTACGCCATAGTTGGTCCTCGAACGCCGGTTGTTGAAGAACGCATGCAGCCGGAGGTCCCGTCGTTGAGTGTTGATGTCAAGAAGACTGAGAAGTGTGGAGCAGTCGACGTTCCCTTGCAGAAGATCCGCAACGAAACAAGCCTTCGCCACATTACGCCTTCCTTCCAAGAGCTCCAGGTCGATGAGGTTACAGCGACTTTCATAGCTCGGCAAGTTACGCGGGTCGCGCCAACGAAGGTGTCGCAACGCAAAGCGAATAAATTTTCGCTGAACAGCTTCAATTCTATGGATGGCATTCTGATAGAATGGCGACCAAACAACGGCAGAGTATTCCAGTATAGGTCGAACCAGGGAACAGTATAAAGCCTTCAGGCAATACACGTCCTTGAAGCTTTTGGCGAAACGGAATAAAAATCCTAGCTGCGATGAAGCTTTAGATACAACATAAGCAATGTGATCCTTGAACGTTAATTTTCAATCGAGCATGACTCCCAAGTCCTTGACAGTCGATTCGCGTTTCAAGCTTATTCCTCTTAAGGTGTAATCGTGGAAATGCATCGCCCGTTTACGGCCAAAGGAGATGACCGAGCACTTGGACACATTTAAAGACATCCTGTTTATCCGGCACCAATCATCAAAGACTTCAAGTTCTTGGTGGAGGAAATGAGCGTCTTGAGGCCCTTTTATTACGTAGTAGAGCTTCATGTCGTCGGCGTACGAGAGTTTAAGGCATTTGAGGATCAAGTTCACGTCGTTCATATACAACAGGAAAAGCAATGGCCCCAGGTGGCTGCCTTGAGGAACACCAGATGTAACAATGAAGGGTGGAGAAGCGTAGTCACCGATCTTAACAGACATAGATCTGCCAGTCAGATAGGAGCGAAGCCAGGTAAGTAGACTCCCATGAACACCCATTTTGTCATATTTAGAGATGGTAATTTCATGGTTCACTCTATCGAAAGCTGCAGAGAGGTCGGTGTCAACTTGATGGCCACGTTCAATCTCACGAATAATGAACGATGTAAAAACAGTTAGATTAGTCGTCGTCGAGCGCTTAGGCATGAAGCCGTGTTGATCCTGAGAAATACTGTACGAGCAGTCTTGAACCAACTTTTCCAGGACAATTAACTCGAATAGTTTGGAGATAGCACTCAATGCAGCTATTCCGCGGTAATTGGCGACAGTCCAAGATGACGATGCTGTCCCTGGCATCCATTTGAGAGACAATCCAATCCAGCGAAAGTGCATGCTTCTCAATCAGGCTGTGGTCGTTAACGCGGTCGGGAGGAACGTATATCACGCAGATATAGATTGTACCACTTAGAGTTGAAATTGCAACCCACAGATGCTCAACCGTCGAATCTTCAGGAGGTTTCAGTAAGCGAGATACGAAGCAGGAGCGAATGGCCAGAAGGACTCCACCACCGGAGGTCTTGTTGCTGTTGAGGGTTGATCGATCTTGACGGTAGACGGAATATGTATCGTTAAACAACTGCTTTGACAAAGTGTTGTTATTCAGCCAGGTTTCCGAGAAGGCGTATATGTCGTAGCATGCGTCGCTGCATGCTAGCTGGTATTCGGCGAGTGGTGACCTTTCCATATGTTTATTGTTTGCTAGCACTCCCTAATCGTGCAATGTTCTAGCGATTGCTAGCCTATTCTTCTACGCTGCAGCGTGGGGTCTAGAGAGCGCGAAATTTTCTCATGGGTGCGGTGTTCCGAGCAAAAACCATGTATCGCTAGAAGCGATACGGTACAATCTCCAAAAAGCCGTCGAACGGCTTTCTATTCACTTTGCACACACAAAAAGTTGACCGCACGTAACTTCTAACCTAATGTTTGAACTCTACAGGCACGAAAAACACACCGCGACACTAAGTACACCTATTTTCGGTTACTCTTTTATAGGAGAGAACGGTTCGGATTCGTACCCGGACTTTAACGAACAGGTAGCGTATTCGGGTCAAATGGAATCAATTGGCTGATCGTATTGGGAACTCATTGCTTGTTGTATGACAAGTGTAACTTTACATGAGAGGACATTTCTTGGCGGGGAACACATTTACTATTTTATTGTAAAAAACGTAACCTCTTGCAATTTGATTAAATGAGTAAATTGCATAAATATGAATTATGTATAAATAAATAACTAACAAAATAAATAATTAAATAAATGAAAAGCGTACTTTTTTTTTTTTTTTACTTTGGTTTGTTTTTTTCCGTCGATCTTGTTTTCCGTGCTGAGCACCAATGCTACCGACGTGCCAGGAAGGCAACTCCTACACCTGGACCCTACCTATCGACCCATCAACTCATGAACGGGGGACCAACGGCTTTACTTCCCATCCGAAGGAAGGCGTGATCAGAGATGTTATGCCTCAGAACATCCCGGCGGCGCCGACTGGGATTGAACCCAGGCCTGCTGGGGTGAGAGGTAATCACGCTTAACACTACACCACCGGCGCCGTTGAAAAAAAAAGCGTACTTGTTACAGCCTCCAAAAAGTTCAAAGCTGATAGGTTTGTTGTAGAGTCCTTCGTCATATTAAGAATATTCCCTACACATTCGTTATACCTATCACCAGGGATGGATTGCTCTTTTGGGGCTTTCTTAAAATAGATAGTTTAGTGCTAATAATCTCCCTATCAAAATTCAAAGTTTCCGCACCGCAGAGTTACACTCTGTATTTTTTACGGAAGGTGCAGGGCTCTCGAGTGAATCTTCAGTGCAAACACAGAGTGTGGCTCTACGGTGCGGAAATTTTGCATTGTGATAGGGAAATTAAAAGCATTTTACAAAGGGTTAATTGAAAATTCATTCCAGTCGAATTCAGCCCCTAAAGAGCAATCCATCTATTTAGGCAGCGATGCCAAATGAATTCAAATATTTATTATTGCAACATTGTGCTTCACAATCAAACAAGTTCAAACACATCACAGCTCCATCAAATTTCGATAACGGTAAAGTACTGCATCAGGCAACCTATAGGTTCCGGATCTTTCAGAATGTCACGGTGCTCCATGAAGATTCTCCAATCTCCGAGAAATTGGGGTGAAATACTTACCGGGAACTTGTACTTGATGTTGTCAATGTTAATGACACGCTAGCAATGGAAACGTAGTTCGTAATTCAATTTTGATCGATTGAAATTCAATCTTACCCCCGCTGGAAAGGGACACCGGAGTTCCTTCAATTGTTTCGTGACAGGATACCAAACTTCTAACGGATCCAGCAGACTGGCACAGAAATTTCTTAAAGGTTTATCTATCAACGTTGACCTCCATTCACCCCGCTCCATCCGTTCCGAGTGGAAGTAAACCGGATAAGGGGCCACAACGTCCTTCAGGATGGTGAAATTACCATTGACGATTAGGAAGCCATCGTCATCAAAATCGAATTGTAAATTGGAGAAGTCCATTTCGTATTCATAGCCGGGACATCCGTGCATTTCTTGCAGATCAGGAACTATCTTCAACTCCACGGAAAACGCTAGCAGCAAAAGGTATAACAGTTTGATGCACATATCAAGTGGGGGAAATTCGAGCCTAATCAAAATCGATGTTTTCAAGGCTACGGGTGAATGATACTGTAGTAAATTTCAACGAATGTGCAATTGGCTTATATAGCGTGCTACCGGAAGCTAGGAATGGATGGCTCGTGCCAAACGCAACTGTTGATCGTTGCGGTTTTACATGCTTATTTTTGCTATCAGTTGGTGTCATTCGAAATAGATTCGTATCATTCACAACCATAATGCGGGTAGGCAAAGCTTGAAAATCTAGAGATATTCAGAAGAACCAAAAATCAAGATCTTCAACATGTCTGAGTCGCATCAAACTGGAATTTCCAGAATTATTACCATAGGACTGCTAAAGAGTACTACTTCGCTGCTATAATTATTGTCTACCATCAGTGATGGAAAAGTTCGCAAAAACTCACTATGACTCGCGAACTTTTCCCTTGGTGAACTTCGTGAAATATCGCGAACTTTTCCAACACTGTCTACCATATATCCTTGACAAATCTTAAATATGTTGGACCATGCTACAGGTGTCGTAGGTAGCTGTACCAACTTGCGGATGACTCTCGCAAAGTTATCCCGAACCGAATACAGAACAGAAGATCTTGTTTGGACCATATGTTCACGCTCCGTATCATTTTGGAACAGGTCAACGAACTCCAAGGGTCCCTGTATTTGGTATTCCCTGCTGACTTGCCCCCGAGGGTCTGCCAACTTCCCCTGAAAGTTTATCAAAACTTTCTTTGAATGTTTCCTACATTTTTACACTTTCCCGGACATTTTTTCGGACTTTCCTTGATGTTCATCTCCCGACAGATTCTGGTCGTTTGTCTTCGCTGAAAGTTCTTTTCAAGCTCCCCAAAAAGGTTGATCAGCTTCTACTGGAAATTTTTCATAATTTATTGATAGTTCTTCTCAGGGTTAATTTCCCGGGAATGGTTTCCTGGTCAGAGTGGGCTATCTTTAGTAAAAATGTTTTTTATCTGTTTCCCATGACATGGAACTAGCTTCCTAGAATCGGGAAGCTTGATTTTTGGAGGAATTGGCGGAAATTGATTCAATGATAGATAGATTTTTTTATTCACATCATTTGCCCCTAAACAGAAATCCTGGTAAACGTTATTGGTAATTTATCAAGGTAACAAATATTGTTCAAATGAAAGGCGCTGGGATTGCACCCACAACCCAGCTTGCTGAGCAAACACACGGCACACTGAACCACCGAACCCGTCCAGAGCCTTCAGGCGAGCTTAGAGGCTCAAAATTAAAATTTAACATGAAGCTGATAAATACTGGCTCCTAAGATTACATGCTTCTACGTCGGAATCAGAATCAGAATCGGAATCAGAACCGTAATCGAATCATGGAATATTACGAAATAAAACAATTCTACGATACGATCTTACAAGGCAGACGTAAAAATCATAGACTAGATCCATGATGGTCCGTTGATCATTCGAGAATGTGATGTTTCTCAAATTGTTCTATAGAGCAACGTTTCTCAATTTAAATATGGGTCGCGGTGTGCCCTCCGGCGGGTCACATAAATTCAAACAGCTTTTTTTCCCTTGATTTGTTTTCCGTCGATCTTGTTTTCCGTACTGAGTACCAAGGCTACCGACGCCACTCGCAACCTACCCTACCTATGGACCCATCAGCTCATGGACCGGAGACTAACGGCTTTACTTCCCTTCCGACGGAAGGTGTGATCATAGATTTTATGTCTTAGAAAATTCCGACGGCGCCGACTGGGATTGAACCCAGGCCATCTGGAGTGAGAGGCAGTCACGCTTACCTACCTACTATACTACAACAACTGGTTTTCAATGTTTTCAAAATTTCGTGTAAAATTTATCTCAAGTTATAGTTATGCACGGTAGTGCACATAACATAAGCTTGTGGGAGAAAACGAATCCGGAGCATAAGTCAACTCCAGGAGATATTCAAAGGAATTCGGACAAAAAATTCCAGTATCGTTTGCCAAACAAATTATGCGAGAAATCTAAGGAAGTTGTGAGAAGAAATGTAAATTAATTCTTGGGAGACTTTAAATGTGAGCAGAATTCGAAAGGATGGATTGAAATTCAAAAGTACCTAAATCTGAAATGTTTTTGTGTGTGTGTGTGTGTGTGTGTGTGTGTGTGTGTGTGTGTGTGTGTGTGTGTGTGTGTGTGTGTGTGTGTGTGTGTGTGTGTGTGTGTGTGTGTGTGTGTGTGTGTGTGTGTGTGTGTGTGTGTGTGTGTGTGTGTGTGTGTGTGTGTGTGTGTGTGTGTGTGTGTGTGTGTTTACAATCTAACTCCCACTAACTGGCAGTCACATTATGGATAGAATCATCCTGCAACCAGCGTTGCCAGTATTCCAGATTTATCTTGATTTTCCAGATTTTCAGTCGTTTTGCCAGATACACAGACAGATCACGTATATTTACAGATTTTTCAAATATAAGGGGAATGTATGTAATGTCGGCCTAAGTGTCCCTAATTTGGGCCCATACATAAATTCAGCAATCGACTAAATTTTCAATAGCGACCAAAAATATCCATTAGTACCGTCCCAATGACGCGTTGATCTAGATACAATTGATAAATAGCAGATTTTTAGCGATGGGCCCAATCTTAGATCCATAGGCTAACATAAGAGCAATTTCCCCCGTTCGAGATTTTCCCAATTTTTTTTAAATATGTTGCTTTAAAATATCACTGAAATTGAAGGACCGTCTAATCAAAAAATAAAAAGCCAAACTTACTACTTTATTTATTAAAGGCCATCAACGTTGGTCATTATTGTAACATCGTACATGGAATTGTTACAACAGGTTTGCAATGGGTTGCAGAACCATGAAAATTGAAACATTTTCTAAAGATTATTGGCTAAAACAAAATCTTCGTGGTCGTGCGGCGTCACCCGTCGTTCAGGCGTATTGTGATTCCAGCTCCAGCCGGTGTAACTTTTCGCAACCTGAAAATTTCCCTACCTACTAGTGTGGTGTGTTGTCAGTTGTCTAGTGTTAAGTATGCAGTCTCTGTCTCTGCAACCTCTGGTTGAAAACGGTGTCAATTGTCTTTTAAAAGCTCTGATGCCAATTGCATGGAAGAGAAATCATAGAAAATTCTTAAGATGAAACTTAAGAAGTATGCTGATACGAATCGTGAGAATAATTTCAATGGAATTCTATCCAATGTTTCTATGGAGGTTCATTTTCATCAAATTATAAAAATTTAAACGGAATTATGCGAAAAGAACATCAGGCAATTTCTGGGAGACTATCAAGTCTATTCTGACAAAGTACTTGAGTACTTAGAAAAAAAAAAACTGATATGGATTTCAAAACAATTCTGACCTCTCCTACAAAGCAGTTCAAAGTTAACTATCAGATAAATCTGAGAAGAGTGTGACGGTTATTCTGAAGAGTGTATTAAGGAAATTATTAAGAATATTCTAAGGGAATTTCATAGAGAAATACTAGTTCATAGAGAAAAATATTACCAGTTTGAGGGAATTGTTGAATCGGAGAGTGATTTATAAGAGATTACAAGAGATAATGCTAAGAACTCTTAGAATGTTACTAAAAAAATTTGGATATTATCAAGATAATTTTAAGGGAATCAAGAAAAAAAAAGTGTGATGGAATTCTAGGATGATTCAAATGGAACTCTGAAAAAAGGAAAAGATATCCTGTGAAGAGTTCCAAGTAAATTCAGAAAAATATAAATTCCAGAATTTAGAAACACTTCAAGATCGTAAAACTTCAAATTTTTTGGAGCATTCCAGATTTTTTTTTAGATTTTATATTTTAGCTGGTCCAAATTTTTCTGAAAAAGACCCGGCAACGCTGCCTGCAACCAACTTTTATATAAATAATTGCAAGAAGCTTAAATGTTTGTAGTATCATTAGTACTTGTACTCGGAAATTAAGTATGAAAATATTAGAAAGGACAAAATGGAACGAACTCACCAAATCTGGCCAAGTGAACCCAACAAGCTGACCTGATGTGTTAGAGGGGAAGTCGCAATTGTAGACGGTTCGCTTCACGGGTTAATCCGGTTTGTGGTACAGCTTGCACGTTATGTCTCGAATGTAGCCTTGAAACACCTCTTGGCCGTCCGACACAATCCGCACACTGTGGAACTCGATTCAGGAAATTCAAGTATCCGTCCGTCACCAATATCACTTTACTGCTAAAAAAATCCAGAACAACGCAAAATCCAAAAATTTGACGGGAGAAAAAAATTTCGCTTCAAAGTAAACCTCAATTGAATTCAATGAAAATTTTGAGAATCTTTCCAAAGGTTTTTTTAGTTAAGGTAATTTTGAGAAAATTAAAAGAAAATTGAATTCGGAGGATAGTTCCAACTAAATTTTGAGGAATATTTCAATGAAATTGCGAGAAGCATTATTAGATAATTCAGAGATAGTTTTTGTTTATTAATTTATTTGATAAGGCTCAACCGAATTAACTTAACAGAGCCGAGGATTCATGGTCACTATACAATACATCTTAAAGCTATAGTCAAAAGGTACAACACAATAAACACTTTATCTTCCGCTATCCAAAAAGCCTCCTCCATCAGAACTGGAGCCGCTTCCAGTAGTTAGAGATAGTTTTTGGACAATACAAAGCGCATTCTGTAGAAAACTGAGAAATCTCTGTTGAATACGGAATGGGCTATTTTGAGGTCTTCAGAATGATTTAAAAGTTCCCTAAATGTTCCTGAAGTCAACGAAACTGTAGTTCTTTTATAGTAATTTCTATATGGGGGTAAACTTTGTGAAAACCGAAAATGGAACATGTAACAAAATTATGGAAGATTTTGAACGTTAATAACTCAGTTTCCCCTGGACCAATTTCAATACTTTTCTCACCAGTCGATCAGAAATATTCCTACGCATCTGTACAAATTAAGACTTAGTCACTATTGAAAATTGCATGAATGTGTAACTGTTGCGATGATAATTAAAATTATCACCGATTGCCAGCGAAAAGCGATTTCCCTAACACAGATTTCAAAGTTGAATTCCATCTGGTCAACACCAAACGGTGTTTATTCAATCACCGCGTGGTGAGTGGTGATGTTTTCCGGTAAACAACGACAGGCTCCCTGCAAGCAGCTAGCTA